ATCCTTTCCTGGCTTGTTATCCCTCCTCTCATCCTTCTTCTTTTTCTGGTTTGCCTGAAACGGACCAAAGATGTATAAATATTGTAAGTTAATTCTTTGAATATGACGTTATAAATGACTTCTTAGTTCTTTTAGATTTCTTCTGAGGAGTTATTAAAGATTAACTTTCTCATTCCCTTTCTTTTCAGCCTTATGTTGAGTCATGAAAACTTGTAAGGCCTTTCAGCTCATCAAAAACAAGATAAAGTGGTCTAAATCTTCAAAAATATATAAGACAAGAAATCTTTGGAAAATGCAGATGTAAAGAGTACACAGCAGAAATTTAAGATATAAATGGAAATGGAGTGGTAGAGTGTGTGACGTCATACCATTTCTCATATCCAACTAGAATGGCCTAATTATTCTTCAGTATTTTATTTTTTATATGATCTGAAATCGATTAATGGGTCAACCATTACAAATCATATCATGTGCTGTTTTTTCGTATTTCTGAGTGATATTAATTGGAGTTCACCAAGGTATGAAAGAAAATCCTGTAAAGTGACTAAGAGACTCAATATATCTAATCTCACAAAGACGTTCCGAATAGTGCTGGTGTACTGTACTGGTACTGGTGACAAAGACTTAAATACCATCAAGACTGAGATATTTGTCACAAACAGGATCGTATATGGCTTTCAGCGGCGCTTTCGGTTCTCTAACAAAGGCCAACATACTTCTATACTCTATACTTATATAGTTGGCCAAGAATATGGTTTGACTGTCCTTTTCAGTCTTGTTCTAGGTAAATACTGAGCTAGTATACTAGATACCTATATATGCATATATTCCAGCTCTAGAAATCCTGCTACTGTCTTTATCTTTGTATCAGGCTGCCCAAAATATTTTTTAAAAATCTTAAAGCATATTCACTCGAGGGAAACTTGATCACAGAGCATCATACTTCTCGGTTTCAATATCCAAGTTCTATTTAAAAGCACAAGCTCAAAACTCAATTACTGTTAACATATTAATAAATTGAACATTGCGCCAAAATGCCATTCTCTAATATATCATCAGGAAGGGCCCCTTATCTTGAAACTTTAATACAAATAATCATATCAAACCCAATTACATTAAGATGTTTAGGGATATAAACTTCAAAGAAAAAAAGACTCAAAATCACCAAGTGAAGGACCTTCCTTTGGCTGGGCTAAGAGGTACATCCACAACTGTCCCTCTAAACGAAAAATCCCTCCTCCTTTTCTTTCGGGTTCCTCTCCTCCCTTTGCCTTCCATTTCCTCTCTTTGGCTTCCAAGGACTCTCCTCCTCTCTTGGCTCCTCCCTCATCTTTTGTTGAGTCTTGCTTCCCTCACCTTCCCACGGATCCCTCCCACCTGCTCTTGCCTTAGCACCCCCTGCTCCTATATATCATTGGCTTCCTCTCATTCTTTGGTGAATCTAGGCTCTTGTTTCACGGAGCTCGTCAATATCAAATAATTGTTTTCCTCCATTTACTATTTCTATAAGCAAGAAGAGTGATGCCTCGTTTCTTTGCTTCCCTACAGCTATTTTATGCTGCAATATCAAGACCTATTAAACACCAAACACAAAAACCTTTAAATATAACACGTAACACTAATCACTAATCATCATTTCGCAAAAAATCTAGTATTTCTAACAACTTTCAAATGGCGTCACGACTAGACCACTCCATACTGACTGCTATTGTCGACTCACAAAAACTGTAACTGCTTTATATAATTTTATGGTAAATGTATGACTTCTAATTCTCTGGAGAGGAACAACTGGCAACTCACCCTAGACTACTGGGGTACTCTGATTAAGGAAGTCCATTTTTTATTGTAATTAGTGGACACATACATTTGTTTTATATTTGCAAACCTACTTACAATATCCTTTATTATTTATCACTGAAATTGGTCGCTTCTAATAGCACTTATTATTTCTTTTAGCGATTCGTAATACCATTGGGTGAGTTGCCAGTTGTTTCTTGAGATTAAACAGTGTATAGTAATAAAAACATAAATCCTAACCTTTCTTCTTTCCATCTCCTCCTTCTTTGCCCTCATCTTCCTCTCACACTGTGCACTATGAACACTGAAGTTCTGTTGCAAGATGTCTTTGCCGCAGCTCTGACACCGTGCCGCTGACGTCTCATTCTCTTTGCCCATTTTATCCCCCGTTTTATCAGCCTTTGTGTTATTGTGTTCCCTGCTGACTTCCTGATACATCCCGTTGATGAATGCTATGCGTGGTTTGGAGTCAGTGAGGTTCAGGTTCTTCAGCTTTGGGATGGCACCTCCATCAGCTGTGGGGCTTTCTTTCTCTTCTCTCTCTTCTGCGAATTCGCTAACTTCATTTTCTTCTTCCCTCTTCTTGTCTTCTCCCTGTCCTTCCTCTTCATCCTCATCTTCTATACGTTCATCCTCTTCCTCTCCTTCCTCCACCTGTACTGGTAAAACCTCCTTCTCTTTATCATTCTCCTCCTTTTCCTCATCCTTCTTCTCCTTTTCTTCCTCCTCCTTGTCCTTATTCCTCGCCTCAGCGCCCTCTCCCGTCTTCTCCTTCTGAACGACAAGATACCGTTCACTTCCCTCCCCCTGACTCTGGTGGAAGAGGCCCTCCGCGTCGCAGATCTCGTGAACCAGACGTCTCTCGAAGGAATTCAGACCCGGCGGGAACTGGTAGACGTTGCTCGCTGAACTGACGAAGTCCTTGATGATCGCCTCCAACTTCTGGCGTCTCTCCTGGTTCTCCTCCTCCGTCGGGGGTTTGTATTTGGGCTTCGAGTCGCCCTTCTTCCTCTTGGGGCCTTCTTTCCCGTCCTTTCTGTTGTTGGGCTTTTTGTTCTTCGAATCCGATTTTTTGTCTTTCTTCTCGTCTTTTGGTCTCATGGATATGCATTCTGGTGTTGCAACTTCCGTCGTTTCCATTTCTGCGAAGAAGGGACTATTATTATCGGCAATTTTCTTCGAAGTATGGAAACGAAACAAAATGACCTTGAAATTTGTGCTTCTATTGCAGTATATAAGGACTGTAACTGTGCAATTTGAAAAAAAAGACATTAATACAATCACCAACAAACAAACAAACAAAAGTCACATGACACAAACCATGTTGGAATTCGAAGGCTGTCCTGACGAGGGCGTGCTTCACCATGTAATCCAAGAATCCCTTGAGGAAAGGATCCGTGCCTACCGTCTCCGAGTCGCAGACGACAGCCAAGTGTCGTCTCGCGCGAGTCACTGCTACATTGAGGCGGCGATTCTCACTCAGGAAGCCCACAGTACCTTTATGTAAAAAAAGTCATAAAGCTCATAAGTATCAATATATAACAATAAAACAAGTACACTAAATCAATACCTATATATTTTCATTATTAAGTCCATAAGTGTATCTTTTGAACAAGCATTAAAATCTTTATAATGCACATCGCCAACTATCATAATGCCTACACCAGGTGCAAGTTCTTCACATAACCCACACTAGAACTACATACACTACTACATGCAGGAAATAACCTTGCCCGCAGAACCGAGCTCTCGCTATTTTATGACGAGTTTTTCCCCCCTCGTCTTCAGGAAACGGCTGATCGTTTTAGGGAGACTTAAAACTAGTTCCCCTACGAGATAGAACCAGATTCCTCACCCTGCTTGTTGGATCGCACGAGGGACATGACCACAGCCTCCTTCTCGCGCCCCTGGAAGCCGTCCACTGAGCGCACCTCTACCCTGGGGTGGTCCTCCCGGAGCAGCCCCCGCACCAGCTCCACCTGTGGGATGTCATACCTGTTATTCATTGTTCCAGGGACTACGTAAAACACACTGGTTGGCCTCATTCTTCGGTTGTTTTTTTCTAATTTTTTTTTCTTTTTTTCTAAGAGGTCATGGAATGTTGACATTATGCACCATAAAGGTTGCAGATGCCATGAAAATGTCATAAAGGTGAGAGAGAGAATTAATGCAAAAAGAAAAAAATATTCCTACAAGAATAATATTTATTTATTTATTTATTTATCTAAATCCACAGACACTAGTGCTATACACACACACACACACACACACACACACACACACACACACACACACACACACGCACACACACACACACACACACGCACACGCACACGCACACACACACACGCACACACACACACACACACACACACACACACACACACACACACACACACACACACACACACACACACACACACACACACGCACACACGAAACAGGACCAAACAAGGCACTAAACAACATTAACCACACGAGACGACCACCTCCACAACCCATACCTCCCCCACGACCTCCCAAAACCAGCCAACGACGACTCCACAACCACCGGCACTTCCTCCTCACCTGAAGATTATAGGGCGTGATGACCGCCACGTCTTCTTCGGGGAGCCCGGCCTCCAGCAACGCCCTGACGTAGTGGCTGACGATGATAGCCTCGCCCTCGTTCCCTTTGCTCTGTTCCTCCGCCGTGTCCAGCTCCTGGCAGTCGCACCCGGCCGTGTCCACCAGAACCAGGGACCGTTCTGGAAGAGGGGACTTTGTGTTCTGGAAAGGAGGAACAAGGGTGACCGTTCTGGAAGAGGGAGGAACAAGGGTGAACAAGAGGGCAAGAACCAGGGACCGTTCTGGAAAAGGGAGGAACAAGGGTGAAGCAAGAAGAGAGGGCAAGAACCAGGGACCGTTCTGGAAAAGGGAGGAACAAGGGTGAGCAAGAAGGGCGAGAACCAGGGACCGTCCTGGAAAAGGGAGGAACAAGGTGTGAACAAGAAGGGTGCATGAGAGGTTGAGCAAGAAGGGATTATATGGGGTGAAGAACCAAGGAAGGGTTCTGGAGAGAGCCGAAGAAGGGTGGAAGAAGGATGAACAAAGGTGCATAGGAGGACCAAGAACCAGGGACCGTTCTAGGGAGGAAGAACAAGTATGGTGCATAAGAGGTTGACCAAGAACCAGGGACCGTTCTGGAAAAGGGTGGAAGAACGGTACAAACGAGGTTAAGCAAGAACCAAGGAAGGGTTCTATAGAGGGAAGAAGAAGGGTGAACAAAAAGGCTGCATGAAGAAGTTGAACAAGAACCAGGAAGGAATCTAAAAAAAAGGGTGCATAAAAAAATACAGATAAACCAGCTGAAATAAAGTAGTACAAACAGAAGGCTTTACTTAACGAAAATACCTCGGCCAGGTTGCATAAGACCAACAGACAAACGGACAGAGGTTACGTTCTACAAACTGGCTATACCGCGGACTCCATTGATAATACTCTTGCATATATATTGCACTTCATTAAAAAAAAAAAAAAAATATAAAACGGGGGAACAATTAGGAAACGGAATCATTACGTAATCAAACAATATTTCGAAATTACAACCGAACCAAACGAGACACCACGCACAATAATAAATAAATAAAATAAATAAAATATACAAATAAACAAGACACCACCACAATAATAAATAAATAAATATACAAATAAACAAGACACCACCCACAATAAATATAATAATAAACAAATAAATAACTAAATAAACAAATAAATAACCCCCTCACCCACAAAGAGAATCACAACCCAAATTCCCCACAACAAATAACAGAACAATTTTAGTTTATCTTAGTCCTTTATTTACCACCCTGGCTAACCGCACGGGCATGGCAAGCTGTGTACACTGGATGCATGGCCAACGCATTATATATTAATATAGTATTACAGTGGTAAATCTAGATCATAAAATTATTGCATGGCCAACGCATTATATAATATAGTATTACAGTGTAAATCTAGATCATAAAATTATTACGGTCTTAAATATATCATTTAAAAAGAAAAGAACAATCGCACAGAACAACTCAACTCAAACGTGGCGTCGCCCCCCCGTAGATTTTCTCAACCCCCCACCCCACCCCCTCACCCCGAAAGACCCCCCCCCCCCCCCTCCCACCCGCCCCACCTCCCTAATACAACGACACACCCCTTTTTACAGGACTACACCCCCACCCATCACCCCACCCCGCCACCCCAACCCGTTACACTCACCCCCCCACCCCCCCCCCTCCCCACCTCGCCGATTCCTGCCGAGTCACCGCCGACACCCGAGCTCGGAAACGGCGTGCAATTCTCCAAGACGATTAATAAATCGACCTGTCCGACGCGGATGTTTGTAAAAAGGAAGGAGAGTCGGCGAGGGCGAGAAGGTTGCCGTTGGCGGTTGGGTGTTCACGCTCGTGCGGCGCGAGGGCACGCGCACGCACGAATAAACAAACGCAAATAACACACACGGGTTTCACACACATACATACACACACACACACACAAACATGTGTGTGTGTGGTGTGTGTGTGTGTGGTGTGTGTGTGTGTGTGTGTGTGTGTGTGTGTGTGTTGTGTGTGTGTGTGTGTGTGTTGTGTGTGTGGTGTGTGTGTGTGAACACATGTGAGACACATAAGCAGACAAACACAAAAAACATAACAAGCACAACACACAGACAACAAACATTCACAAATAAACGCAAAAAGCACAGGGCACGCAAAACTACAAAAACAACAAAAACAAACAACACAAACAAGCAAAACAAAATACAACACACAAACAAACAAACATACAGCACATAAATATAACACAAACAACCAAACAAATACAACACACAACAAACAAACACACAACACAACAAACATAACACAAACAAACCAAACAATACAACACACAAACAAACAAACACACAACACACAAAACATAACACAACAACCCAACAAATACAACACAAAAACAAACAAAAAACACGCACACTTGCGCACACCGCCTCTGACGTCACTCGGGGCAACAACTAACCTATTCCGAAAATTCAAACATTACAGATTTAATTTTTTTCTTGCATTATCTTCTATCAATTTCTGTTGCAATCTGAGACGCAAAATCTGTGTTGCAAGAAATAAAAGCATAAATGATAATGATAATGTTGATGGTGGTGATGAGGATGGGTGATGAGTGATGATGTTGATGGTGAGGATGATATGAATGATGATGATGGTGGTGGTGATGGTGATGATGATGTAGAAGGTGATGAGGGTGGTGGTGGTGATATGATGATGGTGGTGATGAGTATGATTTTAATGGTGATGGTGGTGATGAGGATGTTGCTGGTGATGAGTATGATGATGATGATGATGATGATGATGATGGATGGTGGTGGGTGTGATGGAGATGAGGATGATGTTGATGGAAGGTGATGAATATGGTGTGATGATATGATGGTGGTGATGGTGACTATAATTATGGTGATGATGGTGATGATATGATGGTGATGCCCGAAGATGGCGATGATGATGATGATGATGATAATGATAATTATAGTGATAATGATAATGATGAATATGATGATAATAATAATGATGATGATTGATGATGTGTGTGGTGGATTGATAATGACTGATGATATAATAATGATAGTATATATAGAAAAATTAAAAACTCAGTGGCAACACCACAATA